TAAAATGAACGAATCATGAAAGTCAGTGTCGAAGCTGATTTAAACCTCCCATGGACCTGAAGTTTATCCAAAGCAGAAACTCCTATTTAAGGGCAAGAAGAAGGGGAGCATAGAGTGGCTTGAGTTAACATAACAATGCCTGGCTTGGGCACCATCGCCCGTTCCTAAGTTTATTTAAGCTCTGTATGCCTGGGGAAAGCAAGTAAACAGCAGGAGCGATAGACAATCTCTTAGATAAACACCGTTTCTGCAGGACCAAGACCTTGATGGCTGCCGTCGCCGTCTCTAGCTTTAAATGGCGAGGAGCTCACGGCGTGACTCAGGGCAGGCGGCAGCTGCCGGCGGCACCGCGCCGCTGGGCCGGGGCCTGGACTCTGCGCCGGGGCGGTGGTGGTGGGCCGTGGCGGGGAGGAGGAGGAGGAGGAGGAGGAATGCTGCCTCCCTGACGTCAGGAGCTGCTCCTGGGAATGTTTTGCATTCCTCTTCCTGGCAGTGGTCAGGTGGCTTCCAGCAAGAAGGAAGGAACAGCCGCTTCCAAATGGAAAAAAAAACTAAAATGAGAAAAAATAAGGGGGGGGGGGGGGGGCGCGGGGCGGAAAAGAACACTTTATAATAAAAGTATTGTGGGGGAGGCACTTTTATTAAAAGCCAGATTGGGAATTGGAACCAGATGTTCTGCATTCGAAAGCTGCACGAATGTTAAATGCGTTTATTAATGACTGTGATGGCTGAGGTATTTGGCTATCTGCCTCGCTTTAATCTCTAGTGCTCCGTATTTAAAAACAGTTGAGAAAAACATAGTTTTTTTTCTTTGTACCCGACTTTAGGCAGCTTCCTTTATATGAATGTTAATTAAAAAGTGAGAAAAAAGGAAAGAATATTTTTTGCGGCGGAATAGCCACATATATGAGAGAAGAAACAAGCAGGGAAACAGTTAACATTGGTCCTGTTCTTCTGTTAGTTTTAACATATGTTTTGTACTGAAAATTAATGTCTTTATATTCAGTTTCCTTCTTGATTTGTGGTGGTTGGATAATGCATGTGATGTAAGCCAAAGAGGTCAGAACATGCAATTACTCTTGCTCGCAAAGCACTTCCTATTCCCTTTCTTTCTCTCCTTAATGCCCTGTCAAAGTGGGGGTTTAAAGCAAAACAAGAGGAGATGATCAGTCTGAGGTGGGTGATGTAGCAACTGCATTCACCACAGGCACGGTTTGTGAAATAACAGCTTTATATCTAGAGACAGACCCGAGTGCATGATGTATCTCAGTTTCCAAAGCAGTTTGTCCACCCTGGTGCTTGTACACATTTGGGAGTCTCACGCATTGAGAACTTCCATGAAGGTTTGTGCCTCAGTGGGGATGAGATACCTGACAACACCATAACCTGTACAGATGCAGGCAGATTTGGGGCATCTTCAAGACATCTTTGTGTCCTTTTCTGACCACTAGGCTCTGTGGTTTGCAGGCTGTAAGATAATCTGTGTAAAGCATGGACTGCTGGAGGGAGAGAGAGCCTGGCATCACATCCCCCTTCCGCTCCCGGGCATGGTGATGCCTTAAACCTGTAGCTTCTTCATCAGCTTAAGAGGGGAAAGCACTCACTTTCTTTGTATTCTCTCCTTACCTGGTGGGCAAGGCTCTGTGTTTTAAGAGTTCAGGTATCTTCAGGCAGGGCACAGGTCCTGCCAGGGGCTGATGGAGCAGAGCTATCTCTTGATTTGGGCTGGGACAGCCTGTATGATTTAAACTGTGCCATAGAGACTCACCAGTGCCCTAGCCCAGTGTGTTGCTTGGTTTGAGTTTTTTTAATGCAATTAAATTAATCTTACATGTTCCTATTGTCACTGCACACAGTTGGGGTTAGCTGAGCCTGTTCCCTGGGCAGTGTTCTATGGAAGCTGATGGCAACAGGGAGCACTGGGCAGTTTGGGTCCTGTTCTCTTGAGCAGTGTCCCCAGCTCAGGTGAAGCCCGTGACGGCCCTCCTGTTTCCGGGTACCGGCTGAAGTGGACAGGCAGCTTCCTGCTACGGGGTGGATGCTTTGCTGAGGAATTTCCAGAAATGCTGAGAAGTGCTGACTCACAGCTTACGGCCTGTCTGGGCTGAGGGGAGGTTTTCACGTCCTTGGCTGAAGCCAGCAAAAAATGTTGCTGTAATGTACTGTTTTATTTTTAGCAGGGGGAGGCTGTGTTGCTCAGGATGAGAAGCTTGCGAGTGGTTTCAAGATGACAGGCACTTTTAAGGGGTTGGGTTTTTTTTTTCCTTTTCTATTTTTAGAACTTGGAAAACAGGTTGTTTTGCTAAAATACAGACACTTCTCTGTTTCCCCACTAAATGGGTTGTTGTAAAGGAGCCTTAAGGAGTTCATGCAGGAAGGCTTTTACCGCCCCTGCAGGTCAAAATGTCCTTCAGGGGAGGAGATACTGAACTATTTGAGATTGAAACTCAGCTGGCACCTACTTGCGCGGTATTTCTCACTTCTGCTGAGGTGGGACTGCAGCTGCAATTGTTGGAGCTGAAATGTAGCCAGGTATTTGATGGCTGCTATTACGAGATCATTGTAAAAGCTGGGTGCTTGAGTTTCATCCTCCCTTGGTTTTAGCAGTCACTTCTCGAGTAATTGGCCGTGCGTTTTTCTTTCTGAACAGCAAATGCCCTATGGTGTTTTCTGCTAGTGTTAGCCAGAAACTAGAGGGAGGGAGGAGTCATTTCGAGCTGTGCCACCTCTCAAAATACAATTTTGGTGATTGGGTTGTAGGGGCAAAGGGGTCTTTTTTGTTGTTTTGTTTTCCATTCCGTACATTTTTTTTTTAATGTATCCATGTATGTCTGTGGGTTTTTTTCTGTTCAACAAGCAGTGTTGAGTGTTTGGGGATGATCTCCCAAGTATGCGCTGTCCCACAGAGTATCATAAATGGAACACACGTTTGTAAAAACTCTTTTACTTCTAAGTTCTAAAAGTTGCTATCAGCTCTTCTTCATTCGCAGCTCTGTATCTCTGCGTATAGAACTGTTTGGAGCCTTTTTTGACATCTTACTTGTGGTCTGTGTAACAATGAATGATCTGCAGACTACTCACCACAAGGCCATTTTTTTAACCTGTAGCCTAAACTAGCACATTTTGCACACAACCCCACCACCACCACCAAAGCAAAACAAAAATCAAACCCAAAACTCACACCTCTTATAGCAACCCTGCAGCATCTGGCTTGAGAATAACTGGTACACAGCTTCCCTGACAAAGTATGTTTCCCTCTTGTAGGTGGATCATGTTTTAACTGCTCTCCTCAGTTTTTGCCTTGATGTTATGTGTCCAGCAGGGTCCTCATTTGGCAACAGGAAAGAAAAAAAGGATAATTCTGTGCAGGAAGAGCAGGAGCGTGTCTCCATGATGTGCAGTGAGCTCATTTGTCAGTTCACTACTGTGAAAAATCCCAGTCTTAGTTATTTGAATAGCAATACAGTCCTTGCATGTGAGCTGCTGCTGCTGATTTTTGTAGGCAGAAGTAATTGTGGGCTGCACGTCTATCACAATTTCCCCATCAAATCCACTTTTACTAATGGCTCTAACCTTGCCAGCTATTCATCTCCAAGAGAAAGCTGTTCTACCCGTATCTGTCAGTTCCCTCCAAGATTTTACAGCAGCTGCATAATCTCTTCTAAGAGTTGCATAAGCATCTTTTTTTGCTTGTGTCCTGGCACCCAGAACTATACCAGGAAAAGTTATATAGGCCTTACATTATTTCTAGCCACCTGTCAGTAAATTAAGGACAAGAGCCATGAACTAATGTCCCCTTTAGATAGATGTGTCATCCGACCTGGGTGGACATGCCTCAACTGGGCTGCCTGACTCCAGATAACCCCTTCTGCGATCCGCTGCTGCTTGACCCTTTTCTACTTTGGATGAGGCACAGAACATACTTTTTTTGTGAAGATTCTGTCCCCAGCTTCTAAAAAGAAATAAAATCATGCATGAATGTTGTCCAGCTTTCCAGGAAACATGTTGGTACGACATGTATCACTGTAGTCAGAACATCTACTCATTTTACAGTCAGCTTTTTTGTAATTGAATCTGCTCTAGTAAAATCCAGCAGTCCTTTCTAGTAATATCATACTTCACAGTCTGGTTCCTGTGTTTAATACAGACATGCCCCGCAAAGAGGTTTCTGCTTGTGCTAGTATAAGCTTGTACCTTCTCAGATATCTCAGTCTCCTCGTGCTACCTGTTCTTGCATAGCTTTCTGATCTCTCCACTATTTGATACGCTTTGTTGCTAGCTGCACTACAGTCTTGGTAGCTGTGTGAAATCTCAGCAGTTCATGTTGATGCTTCAGTTGTCATACTACTTTTTGTTATCGTGTCATTGTCTTAAATAATTTTTACTTTTGATCTTGAGGAATTTCCTACACCCTTCTTGTACTTTCACTTAAGGTCATTATGACAGCCTATTTCTTTGTGCCCAAAAAGAACAATAAATCCAGATTAATGGTAAACCTTTAATGGTAATTAATGGTAAACTGAGTAGTCAGCTGCTTTATCATTATCATCACTTACATGATAGCATTATCATTAATTGTCTATTGCTCTGTTTGTCCATAGGAGTCTTGCTGGTTTTCAAAACAACTCAGTTCAAAAACTGCACTGCATATTACTTCATGCTCTGCTGGGAATGGTGGATCATATACATTGATTTCTATGTAAAGATGAGATTATGGTGGTAAAAAAATAAGACATTTTAAAAATTAGTAGTCAGAATTTGAGTGTCCTAAGTAGCGCAGTTAAGCCAATCCAGTTGTTTTAGTAAAGGTTAGAGGAATCTTTTGTGAGAAATTTTAAAGAATATGCACAGTAGGCACATGTATGTGTGTGACTGGATATATGAATGATAAATTTCAAGAATGTAGGCTGATACTTATAAACAGTTTGAAGCCATGAATAGAAATAAGTCACATTTTGTTTAAACCAATAAATAATCCAGAGAGACTAAGGACAGAAAGATGGAACAGGTGGTTAAGGAAAAAAATAGCTTACCATTATTTTGTGAGGGTCTCCCTGCTTTACCTCAATTCTAGTAAGCCTCTTCAGTCATCTTTTCAGTTCTCCTGTTTTTAAGTCTCCTCTTTCATTTTTAATCTTTTTCCTTAATTTTCTTTTGATTACCTTCAGGATTCCATGGTGTCATAAAGGTTAGAAGCTGGATCACCAACTATCATTTAAAACTTAAACTAAATCAAGGTTTGCCTCTTCTAAGTAGAATGTGATGTCAATCTTCTTCAGGATTCCTAGGTATCTCTTGTGGCCCCAGTAATCAGTATGTCAAAAAATGAATACATTTACAGCTGTTGAGAAGACTTGTGCTAACATTGCTGGATGTAGACTGGTAGGCATTCATTATTAACATATATTCCCACTGAGAATCTTGTGGACAGTGCATACCAAAATCTGATCATCCATGTGCCTGGCACTGCTGGGTATTGTTAACATCATAGTTTGGTGATTTCCTTCTTGTGCCATTGATTCCAGAGTGTGTTTCAAAATGTCTGTGTTGATCTGTAGCAGGGAAAATTTGTCTTTCTGTCTTCCACAGTAATACATCCTTCTGAAATAATGAAGCTGTCAAAGGATGCAGGTGGGATCGTGTGTATAGAAGACAAACTTGCCAAGGAACATGAATGTGGTTTTGACACAGACATGTCTGTACTAGCAAGTGATGTGATGTGGTAGGAGCAGCTCTGTGGAGTAAAAGTTGGTGTGGGAGATTTGGTCCTGCTATATGCATTGTGAAGTTTTACTTGAGACAGGCTGCTGGTTGGTCAGGGTGCACTGAATGCCTTGTAACAGTTGGAGTGCATCTTCAGATTTAGTTCCATCCAGAAAGAATCCATTCTGTCCCACAAAGGGGGTCCCACAGTCCAGACTGAAGCACAGGGAAGATTCAGAAGCACACCACTGATCTGAACTGCAGGACTGATGTGGACACACCCAGGGATGACCAGACATCAGACCAATCCATCTTTCTCGCTTTGGCTTGCTCTGAGAATTCCTATTGTCATACATACACACAGATGCTTAGTTGTAAACAGATAAAACCCAGACAACAAGCTGATTTTTTAATACTAAGAAGAAGAAGGGCAAAGGAAAAGAAAAAACGTTATGTTCAGCTTTTAATACCTGGGTGTTATTCAGTCTTGTGATGATGGCTGTGTAGCCATCGTTGCAACTGAAAATTTTCTGGCACTTGTCCCGATGCATCCTTTCTCTCTTGGAGTCTCTAGAACTGTGCTAAGATACTAATATTGTTCTCTTGTAGCTGGTATGTATTAACTTTAAAAGAGGTAAGTTTTCATTCCCATGGTTACCCTGGAAATCTTTGACAACATGTGCTGTACCACATACTTGATACCACAGCAAACAGATACTTGGAATTGGGGAAACCAGTCTTAAACACTGAACTTCTTATGGAGGAACAAGTTCAGAGCTTAGCATGACATGGACACCTATAAGAAACTTGTGTATGTTTGCTAAAGAAGGTATGATGGTAGTCCTTTACACTGTTAATGTAAATAAAGAATTTCTGATTCTTCCAGGCTTAATTTTGTTAAAGTGATAGAATAGAGGTATCACCTAGATAGAATAATGTGCACACACCACAGCGATTGCAGACTCTTGATCTCCCCATCATCCATCTCAGTTGCTGAGGTTTCCTTCCAGCAGAAGTAAGCAGGCTCATGTGGACTTCTGCTTTGTTTCTCTACAGAGTAGATTAGAATTGGGAAGTATAAGCCCTCCAGAGCAATGGGTCACTCAGACCCAGTCAGTTTTGGTCATCTTTTAACAGCTTAGCACACTGTTACAACTTGCTCTTCTGAATAGAAGCTGCAAATGGTCAACTTGTAGTAGCAGGTTTTTATAAACATTTATTGTACAGAATTGAAAAACTGAGCAGTCAATATGTACATCAATATATAATTGCTTAGAGACAGGATTGCAGTAAGCGTAGGTAATAAAAACTGGGCTGAGAAAACAGTCGGTGTACCATACGGAAGGGATAGTTGCTTTATGAATTTTTCCTTTTCCTGTTTTCCTCTTTCCACAGAGAATACGCATTGCATTGAGGACAGAGAAACAGAAAGTCTTGGCAGCTTCTACTGTGCCAGAGACTTTGTTCTGCTCAGTGAGGAGGGGTGCAGTTCCCAAGAAAGATGTCAAATACAGTAATTAATGTTCTTTCTTCATGTGATGGATACCATCTGTATTTAGAAACATCTGAGCTTGCGCTTGAATACAAGTCACGTAGCATTTTTATTGGTATAGTGAAGAACTTGAGTATCTTTATTCATGATACTTGAGGCTTTGCTCCCAGACATAGTTTAGAAATGCGTGACATTCCTTTTACGTTTCGAAGTGAAAAGTGAGCCAGGGTGAGCAGGAAGGACATTCCGTAGCTCGGTGAATCTTTTAGCAGTTTTTCATTGTGTCATATTTGTTTTTATAGAAGCAACGTCAAACTAGGGCAATAGGAGCAGCAAATTAGTTTTTGCCTCATATAAAAGCAAACATGATCAGCATCTGCTCATCCGCCAGGGATATTCATGGAGTCAATTATAATCAGGATATACAACTTTCCTTTTTTGACAGCCTTCATTAAGACTGGTCAAAATACAGTGTCTTCAAAACAAACAATGTTTTTAGTTTTCCTTCCTTCTTAGCTTCTCCTATTTCCCTAGCAGTGAAACTAGTGACCTTATCTGAAATCATCTCTGTGTTTGTATCCATGTCTCTTACAGCTGGGATGTGGCTCCAGTAGTTCTGCAATGCAGCAAGTTACTTGCTATCTTAGTCATGTAATATATCTTTTCCTTTTCTTTTTATTCCCTTTGTTTCAGAATATAAACATCAGCAATTATTATCTTGATTAATCCTCTCTCTGTCGTACATCTCCTCTTTCCCTCTCCCTGTTTTTGAGGAAAAGTAATAAAAGGCAAGTTTATTGTTTTCCAGCTAAGGTCTGCTAGTTTCTGTGAGGAAGAATGTCCTTTTTGTCTTAAACATGCTTGTTTTGTGTTGTCTTAATCTGCTTGGAAGGAATTGCTGTCTGAATCAATACACCTGTATTGTAACCTATCTGAACAGATAAGAAAGTGGCCTGGAACAAAGGTTTGGGGCAATAATCGCAAATTTCTTGACAACATAACATTGCAAATGGGCAATTCCATGGTCCAGCAAATATATGCAAAAATCTTTAAGATACTGTAAACCCGATTTTGAAGTCAAGAAAGGAGATGCCAGTTAGGCTGAAAACCTAACTGTGCCAGCACTGGGTTAGAGTTTTCTCCTGAAGCAAACCTAAATTTAAGAGAGTGCATGTAACCTCAACTGTGCCAAAGCCCTCCCAAGTTCACAGTTTGTCCAGGGACAGAGGAGGATCATATGCCATGATCAAATGCTACCACTTGTCATGGTAGTCTGTGTCATACAGCTGGACATATGCCAGTCACATGGTCAAAATTTCATCCCCTTCTCTGCTGGCTCTTGACCTGGCACACACTTGAACGTCTTGTAGTATAAGGAAGGAGCATAATCAAAGAATACTAGATAAGGAAAAACAGACTTTGTATTCAAAATACTCTGTACATTCTGGATTTCATTTGGCTTATGCCACAGGCTTCTCATAAAACCTCCAGCAAGTTATTTGTTGTGAGCCTTGATTTTGCATATAAAAAATGAAAATAACAGTGCTTCTCAGTTTCACTGCATTATTAGTAAATAAAGTTAGTGTTATTGAAATGCTGGCCTACTGGGTTTGAGAGAGGGCCAGAAAAGTGGAGAGGGAGAGGGAATTCCCTTTTCTTAGGGAGTTTGGAGGAGCGATGCCAGAGGCTGCTATAGTTCCCAGGAGCAGCAACGCATTAAGAGAGACTTAAAGATGCTGCCTAGCTACCTCTTTATGAGCTCTGAATCTTGTGCTTCTCTTTAGAGGCATGTGCACACTTGCCTTTAGGATGTATTTGTTCATATGAAATGTGAGAATATATAAATATTATTAGATGTATTATAAATGTACCTAAAATTATTTACTGGCAATTAGCCAGAGAAATTCACTTAATTTGAGAGGAAAGAGGAGAACTTCTGCTCAGACCAAGTAATTTGTGTTGTAAGCAGCTACAGAAAGACTAAGGGAAGAGTAGGTGGAACATCAAGAAATTTGAAACGTAGTATGTACGGTCTTGTCAAATGGGGTACATTTTAAAGCAGGAAATGAATCTATTGTGAACTTTGAGACATTTTTGTGTATAAATATACATTTTACTGTCTAATGCTGCATTCATTTTCCTTATTATTTTCTGAGTATGTACCATTAACCATGTTTTTATTGAAGTCTTCAATGTCAAAGCCAAATATTTAAGACCATGTAACATTCAGAATATTAGCACATAAAGTCATCATAAACCAAACCAGAACAAATAGCACTTAAGCAATTTTTGAAGTTTCTCTATCAAGAAAACTTCTCTTGTGGAAGACCAGTTTTAATAGCCAGGTATGAAAAGTGAATAAGGGGATAGCCGACCCTTGGTTTTGAGCTAGGTTTCCTGTTAAAGTGGTGGTGGGAAATGTTCTTCCCGGAGGAGGATGTATGCTGTTCAGCTGTGTTTGCCTCAAAAAGCTGAATCCAGTCATTGTGTCTGTATCTTGGCTTCTTTCCCACTGTGAAAGTACAGAGCAAACTCTTGCCTGCTACTCCCTGTGAGCTCGATATCCTTATTAAAGATCAGGGAAAAGAAAGGGGAAAACCCAGGGAGGTGAGTGAGTTCATTTGCATACGGCGCCGGGGCCAGCGCATGGTTCAACATGTGATGCAACAGTGAACCTTTTTGGTGAACTTGTAAAGCCATTGAGAGGCGTTTTGAACTGCAGAGGTGCAAGACTGCAAGTTCTTATTCACAAGCAAGAGTGAAAGTGCTTTGTAACTTAATTACATAACATAAATTATAACATGTTTTGCATTAAACAGAGAGCTATGACAATATTTGATGCTTGTTGTTCTGTTCCTGTTCTTGTTATTACTATTAATGCTTGAAGTATTTGATACTTGCTGCTGTTCCTTTCTTAAAAGTCTTACAGTCTATTTGATGTCTTAGCTGCATGGAATTGGCAATGAGAATCACCTAAAATGAGCCACATTGATGTTCATTTTGTGCTATGACATCTGGCTGGGTGCTTTTTTTTCCCTTTGAAACTGGATTCTTTTATGGTCCTGTTTAACTCCATTCCTGGGCAAGAGCCCTGGCTGCTGCCAGGCAGTGGGATATGTGTTCTTGCCATTTTGCCTGTGTGGTCTTCAGCGCACATCACACCCTTCTGGGAGCAGTTTCCACTCACCAGCTTTGCACCAGTGTTTTCCTGGGTTGGTGAACTGAGCCAGCTAACAAGTGGGAAACAAGTCTAAACCCTTGCTCCACTTTTTAGGGTTAACCAGTCCTTAGATACGCTTCGTTGAATCATCTAGCTTTATGCTTTCTTTTGTCTACACTGTTTTTTTCTGGGTGCAGAAAGGGTTCAAGAAAACCTTTGTATCTTCTTTTCTAAATTTACTTACATCCTTTTGACTGAAAGTTGACTGTAGCCTTTTACAACTTGGTGACACAGAGTAGGTGGAGGCCTAACATCTTAACCTGGCTTAACATCGCCCAAGCCAAAAAAGAAGGCCTTGTTATAAAATATGTTGTTTAGTAGTATAGTGGACATATCAAGACTTGTAGTACACCCTGTTTAAGAATAAACTGCGTTAGAATAATAAGCATATCGATATAACTGTCTGTATAGTTAAATACAACATTGGTAACTGAACTGGTAAAGGCAAAGAAGTGCAAGTTCATGTTGACAGATTGAAAGCCATGCATGAACATAGGCCCTTATACAAGTATATTGAGCTTCAGTGCAGTCTAGCACTTGTTCATGCACTCAGAAAGTCCGTAGTGGGTTTGAGGGACTTCAGGAGAAAGACATGAGTTTTGTTTGGGTTGATGGACGATGGAACTGAGAGGAGAAAAGCAGTAGTATGACACATGATAGGAAAAAGTTTCCATAAACAAGTATGGTGAAGTGAGGTAGTTCATAACTTTTCTGTCCTCATGATTTTTTATGTTCAATGATACCTTCAGGGATATACATCAATGAAGTGATTGTTTCTGGGTAAGAATTCTTGCTAGTTTCCTGAACAAAAATTAATATCCAGGACTTGCATGGCTTCATATAACCATTTTACTGTCTGGTGCACTCTACTGTTTATTCACGTGGTTTTGGTGGTTCTCCATATGCACAGTTAATTATCAGTTCTTTTCCAGTTTGGAGCATACATAAGAGGCAGAAAGTGAAAATTCAAAGTCAGTGAAGTCTATTCTCTTCTTCACATGTTTTTAGTTACCTTGAAGGCTGATTGATTTTATGCATGTATTTCCTGGGACTTTTCAAAGAGCTGTGAGACTTCTCTCTGCTGGGGCTCAACTGAAAATATGAGATGTGTTTATTATGATGTCAGTGTTTCTTAAAGGGCAGGGCCCTGGTTTAATTTATGACTCAGCACTCTAGTTACTAGACTCTAGGTAAAATGGGGCCTGTAAATAATTTTCACCACCGTTTCTTAATTTAGAAGCAGTGTGTTCCTTTTGCACAAAAAATTGTTTTATGCCAAAGTGTTAAAATTTCAGTAAAGGAATTATAAATTTCTCCACTTTGCAACAACTAAGTAAAGAAGAAAGGAATTTAGTCACCGCTTGTTTTTCCTTGTGGCCATATACTTTTAAATAAGTGATTTAGGAGGTTGTATTCCAACTGATGGATTTTGTTTCTGGTTGTTGGAAAGCTGAATTTTTGTCTTGTTTGGGAAATGGTATCTAAGTAGAAGTAAAAGCGTATCACTAAGATTTAGAGGGAATCTTGGAATTTTTGTTTGTTTTATGGTTACCATTAAAGTAAAACATCCTCACATTTCTGGGAATCTTGCATGATCAAGGATTATAACACTGAGACCATGTTTATATTAGTTTTTCATTGAAATTTTTAGAAGTGATTACTTATCTGTTATATTATTGAAGTTCCTGTTGCCTGGTACCAACCAAGCACATGCCTAGCAATTTTTGTTCTTGCTGTATTTTTCACCATTACTGTGAAAGGATCTCCTTTCCTTAAGGTCTTTGTTTTCAACTGAGAAGTTCAAAGCTGGTGGCTGGATGACAGTGAAATGAAGAAATAGCTTTAAACTATTGTAGTTGACCCAAGTCCAAGTAAAGATAAACCTTTCTGATTTACAAAGTGTTGCATTATAGCTTGGTCTGCTCTCTGAGGGGTTTTGTCTGAAAAAAATAAAATGTGAAGTAGAGGCTTGCTTTTACGTAAAAAAGCTCAGAAACGACAGCTGTCAAAGCTCACTTTGGCTATGTGTGGTTTTGGCATGGGCAAATAAACTTTCTGGTGAGGGGAAAAAAAGAAACCGAAAGCCTTACCAGCTTTAGCAATCCCTAATCCAGGGCTAGTGGTGCCAACCTCAGCAGCGTCAAGAGTGCTTGCTCAGAGAGAGGTGGGGGTTTGCCCAGGCCTGATGCTTCTGGCAGACAGTTTTGGGAAGCCAGGTTCTTCATTTCCAGAACAGAACCCCTCTTCCATCAAACATTTTCCTACTCTCCTTTGAAAACCTGAACTCTGTAATAGAGGCGTGCTGCGTTGCTTGTGAGGTATGAAATGCTTCATTTGTTCTTCCACCTCAAAGACTGCTTGAGAAAAAGCTGTCCATGTATCTTTTCTCCAAGGCTTAAAGCATCTTTACATTTAGTAAGTAAGTCCCTCTGCTAGGAAGCTGACGAAAAGGTTTGTGGAATGAACTGTCAATAGCCTAAACTGAAACATTTGCAACATGAAGCTACTTGAATGATTTCAGTGTTCTGTCTTTTTTTCTCATATTAGTGAGGGAGGGATTGGGTTTTTATCCCTGATCCAAAAGGAC